TTTTGTCTATAATTGTTTATAAGGCGTTTAGCCCAGTCAAGAAACCTTCTGGAAGGGTGGAAATGCGCGTATATCGAAGTAGTTGCGATATAGTGCCATCTTGTACCGCATATCGCTATCAAAATGCCCGCCGTAATTGACTGTGAATGGGTAGTCCAAGGTCTTAATATATTTGCTAAAAATGCATCTGCCATCTTGGCATAGAATTTGGAGGTCTAAAAAATAGGCATGTTGTCCGGAGTAAGTAGTGTTGAGTTGTAGGCTGGGCCCATAAATATCATCCTTATCCTTAGTGTAGGATGTAACGTCACTTGTGAATTCATTAGCCATCATCCTTAGTGTAGGATGTAATGTCACTTGTGAATTCATTAGCATACCAGGTTTTGGTTTACCTAGACTAACATATTCTTTACCCGACACCCGAAGTCTGAGGAGACTATGAACTACAGTTGTATCAAGTACTCGAAAGTACGGTTGTCGGTTGCGAGTTTAAAGTACATATCCCACTGAACTCTGTTTTATTGTTTCATAGCTGTTTAAAAGTGCAAAAAAAATTTTAGTTAGCACTGATTTGTGTCGAATTCCGTGTTTCAGCGAATTTGGATTTGTTTGAACGAGCTGTAGTTGCGGAAGATCGTGCTGCATGCTACGCTGCAATAGCACGAGCATGTACTCGAGAATTTGTGCCTTGTGACGCAGAAAAACTCCATCCCATTGAACACCCTCACGCACATTTTGTTATTTCGAAGCTGCTAAAAAGTGACTTGAAGTTGGACGTCAAGCTTGGCGACTTTATTGCAAAGGAGTGTGGCGAACAACTCGCGTCTTGGGCAAGTGCCTTGCTTTGCATTTTAGGAAAATAAACTGAATGTGAAAGGGAGCTGGGAGTCTTCAGAACTACCTTTTGCCCTCCTTTTTTTTTGGGTTTTTGCATCCTTTAGCTGTTAATGCAGCTGGGCCTTGTTTAACAGTTATTGCTTATTCGCCTCTGCAATTTTGTGGTGGTTTTTAATTTCAAAATTTTTGTCCCACCTCCTTTTCCGAAATTACTGCAGAATTTTAACTTCCAGTACATTTTAAGTTCCCATTATTCCTTCTTTTTTATGCGTTTTTTGCAGCAATGCAATGCGAAAAACGCATATTGACGAGAGGTTGTCTGT